GAGGAGTGACAACTGCGAGGTTATTCGCAGTTTTCCCAAGGTTAGACACATATTTCATTAAAGGCAGTTCTTTATTTCCACAAATGCGAGTTAGTTCGTACTTTCCCCTAGTGTTGCGCATCGCCATTATTGTCTTGTCTACATAACTGCGAGTTAGTTCGCACTTGTCGAAACCCTTCGCAATTGTCGATAAACCAGGACTTCAGTTTCACAATTCGGAATCAGTTCGTACTTTCCCGTTGTACTTCGGGTTGCAATTGTCGTCCTGTCAGCAGAACTGCGAGTTCTCACTTGTCCATTCGCACTTGTCGATAAACCACGTCTTACTCGTTTCGTGCGTCTTTCAGGTCTTCAGTTCTACAATTCCGAGTTAGTTTGCACTTTCTCCTAGTGCAGCGGGTTGCCATTGTTGTCTTGTCTACAGAACTGCGAGTTAGTTCGCACTTGTCAACACCCTTCGCACTTGTTGATAAACCACATCTTACTCGTTTTGAGGGCATCTAGTTGGGTCGCAATCTTTCCGAACAATTATCGTCTTCCTTCCGAACTTTTGTCTTTCCTATCCTTCACCCGATTGTTGTGACTTTGTGTGCATTTCGAACACCCATCTCTTCCATCCTTTTCGTCCTCCATTTCGTTAAGTCTGAGTTAGTTCGCACTTCGCTTCTGTAGTGGTTTGGGGTTGGGCGTATTAGTCATCCGAGTTGGTCTGAGGTTGGGCGTGCTAGTCAGCGGGTGGGAATACAATGGCGTCCACAAAGAACACATCCACAAGTGCTGGACCATCTGTCCCCGGGGATGGACGACCTGCAAAGCAACCTACTCCTCAGTATATGCACGCAAAGGGAGCACAATAGTTTTTGGACTTCGTTGTTCAGGGGGACCTTTTTGGGCCAGTTGTTTTCATGCGACCCACTTGCGTTACTGACGCTGGGGGAGCGGTCAACGTTGTTCCTCTCGGTACTGTCGTCTCGTCCGCGAAGACTCCTGGAGGTTTGCTCAAGCTGCACACTAACGGCATGTACGACGAGTGCAGACTGCCTATCAGAGGTGTTAAAGGTGTGCTGGTGACCATCAAGAGTTTTGCGGGGTACGGCTCGAACATGTCGTTGTGCTCTCACTTGAAAGGCCTTTACGATGGTGGCAGCAAGCGTCTTCCATCGCCAGAGCAATATCTCGATCTCGCGCTGAAGGTGTCGAAAGAACGTCCGGTTCTTCTGCCAGAGCATGTTTTCCGGCTTCTTCCACCCCGTGAGGGGTCGTCCGGCTTGGCTCAAGAAACTCCAAGTACGGCAGTGGGGCGCGGGAGTCCGATTCAAGACGTTGAGGGTCGGGTCAAGGGACGCAGCGTTCACATGCAGGCCAGCCCGGATGCTCCTAGGAACACGTCGAACTTGCATTCTCTGGGTACAGGGACTCAACGGGTCGGTACTGCAAAACTTATCAAGGTCCGCTGCGGCGCCGACACGTATTCGCTTCGAGATGAGACGAGAAGAGATTCAAGCAGATCAGGGCTAGATGTTGGAGGGAATGAGGCTGAAGGGATGGGCGCTGTCCGCGAAAGCTCTGGCGGGGAGCAGACTCCCTCGGAGAAGAAGTGCGAGCGACAGAGGATGGTGCGAGAGGAGGTGGCGGAAGGAACCCTCCGCATGAAGAGGATGAGAGGAAAACCAGAGGCAGTGATGGGGGGGATGGAGATGGCGACGGAGAACGTGCCTCGGGAAAGAGGCCGACGAAGGAAGAGGGTGGGACGGCAAGTAAGAAAGCGAGGAGGCCCGGCGGTTTGACCATCCACGAAGGACAAGCCGCGGGTGGAGGAGATTCGGTTGATCCAGGCGCTGCGACCGCCAGAGAAATTTCAAAAAAATCGAAACGGAAAGTGGCAGCTGAAGAAGGCGATGGCGAGAAGAAAACTCAAAGGCGGAAGACTGCTGAGGCGGCGAGCGGTGGCGAAGGGCCTGTCGGTAAGGAGTACGACGAAGCCGCAGCGTTCTGGCTCGAATACGAGCGAAACGATGTCGGTGAAATCGTGGAGAAGGAGCTCCCCGTCCAACTGCTCATCGACCCCAAGAAGGTCTGCGAGATCTCGGCTTGGGAAAAATATTACAACCACCGCAGTCTGAGTCGTGAAACTGTGGACGACATCAAGGGTACGATGCTGAGTCAATTCCGCGAGAAAAAGGGGAAGATCTGGACGAAAAACCCTCTGGTTTTGGCACCCATCTACAAGTCGGTGACGCGTAGGCCGGAGAGAGCTGACAGGGTTCACAAAGATGTCTTCAAGCTAGAGGACAAGGACAAGTACTACTATTACCCTGTTAACAGACAACACGCCGTGGCTGCTGTGAAGGAAATGGAGGGTGAGCCAATATTCCATTTGTGGAAGATGCACTCGTGGCCGGCGAGAGTAGTGTGGTTCTCCGACCGAGATTTCGCTGGGTATAGACAGGTGAGTCTCAACGAGAACACGAGACACAAGATGTCTAAGCAGCGATTGCAGAAGGCCGCGTTCTTGGAGATGCGGGAGGCATGGGAGAATGAAGGAAGGCCGGTGGCCATTCAAGGGAACCCTTCCGGCAAGGAGGCCGAAAAACAAAAGTTCTTCGATTTTCAAAAGCTGATTTTGGGAAAGAGTCCGAACGGAGCTCACTGGACGTTGGCACAAAAAGATTCGTCGCTCGCCGACAAGGAGTATGTCGCGGCAGTTGGCAATGCATTGAGGCAGTGGATGCCACTCGTGACGGCCGGTGACGACGTTTTCCGCAAAGCCATGGAATTCTACGCGAAATGGGCGGAAGGGAAGTTGTTGGGCGGCGACGGCAAGACACCATTGTCGAGGCCGGGCAAATACATGCCAGACAAATCTCCAGGTCTGCAAGAAATTCCGGAAATGGGCTCGAAAGGGGCGGCTGGTGAAACGAAGATGGGGTGGCTGGTCCGGGTCCCGCCGCCTCCGACCAAAAAGAAAACGCAAACGGACGACAAATTTTTCGTGGTCGTGAAGGAGCCAGACATGTTTTGTTGGCAGTGTCTCGCCAACATGACCGATGTCGAGAAACTGTCGATCCTTGACGACATTCTCGCGCTAAGGGGAGTGTTCGTGCAATCCGCGGGCGGCCGTCTGAAGCGTCAGCACAAACCAGGAATTAAAGATATGGTCGCGACGAGGAAAGTGGACCGTGTGATGCTCCGTGTGTTCCACTACATCTTGTTCCTTGAAACAAAGGAGGACGAACGTGTTTGGCGCCACGGGAGCCCTTTTTTTCGGACCGAGGGGAAGCTTCTGGAGGAGTACGGGCCGCAAGGCCTCACGAAACAGGTGTGGGTCGAAATGCGAAAGCATTTCCAGGGCGCAGTGGAGTACGTGAACACTTGCAAACGTACTCTTCCGCACGAGAAGGAGTCCCTCGACGACGCGAAGAAATTGTACGATGATGACAAGTTCCCTAAATCTTTCGAAAAGTCTGTCCGTTCCATCTTGCGACGGACAGAAGAAGAAGTTTGAGACACGATCAGGGTCAGTGGGGATGTGAGGCACATCAAATGGCCCGACCTCAACCGGGTGACCAGCCTTATTCCTTTCGCTTTCCCGCCTTCCCAAGCTCACAGTCATGTCACTGCGATCCGTGAGGTTGTGCGACATTACGTGTGCAACCTGTACGTCCTCGATTTGTGTGATCCCACATTCCTCACAGACTGGCGAGAAGACGATTTCGGCAACTTGCAAGGCCTTCTACAAACACTTTCGCCAACGCACTGGGCACTTGTGATCTTTTTCCCCTCTCGTTGGAGCTCAGTTTCTTGAAAGGCACGGCCAGGCTTAGCGTCCATCATGTCAGGACAGGGAAGTGGGTACGTAATGCACAAAAGCACGCCACTGTCCGGGAAGGCAATATGCTGGTTGAGGAGTATGACCGCCTGTACGTGATTTTAAATGGCGAGAAGCTGAAAGACAACACATTCGCAGTCTATCCGGCCAATAGCCCGACAAAGGCTTCCCGTGCTCATGGTCCAAGTCCGGCCAAACACAGGGTGGCGGGCCGCTCGAAAGTTGTTTGTTCGTCGGACCCATCAGGACAGGCTGAGGCGTGTTTCGACGTGGCGGAAGAGGAAAGGTTCTCTCGTAGCATGTGGGAGGATGGCGGAGTGACAAGTTCTCAAGGACCTGCTTACGGGGAGATGGATTGGAACCCGTCCCGTCTACTTGGTCTACTCGTAAACTTTTGCAAAGCTGGTCAAACTGTTTTTTTCTTTGGGAAGGCGCATGCGTCTGTTGTGTGGGAACTCCTGCGCACCGGTCGGAACGTCGTCGCGTTGGAGAAGGAGGCGAAGATGATCGATTACCTTCACGAGTTTGTGAAGGCACGCGTTGCAGACACTCGCAATGCTTGCGAGTTTGCCCGCACCACCGACGAACGAAACTGGATTCCCAAACATGACATGTATTGAAAATTGTCGGGGAACAAAATGACGGACGTTTGGGACTTCCTTTTCGGACCTGGACCGCCTGGTCCGACCGACCTCGAATACAGTCGACGGAGAAACCTGGTGTTCGTTGTGCTCAATGGGTACCACGGTGCACCCAGGGAGTCTGTCTCGCAGTTCCTGAGAAGGCTGGAGCACGTTTACTTCACGCTGGCCGAATCGCTCACTCTCGAAAACTACAAGTCATAGTTTGACGAGGAGGACCCTTTCGACGCTGACGACATGGAGGAGCTGAGCGACTCCGAAACCTTCGATTTCGAGTCCATGCCACTTCCTAGGGTGGTTGGACAAGTTGGTAATGAAGACGAAGGTGGCCCTCGGAGATATAGCACGTCCCCTGCCGGTTTGAAGCGTGTGTTTCGGGGCGAACCAGTCGACGACCAATCGTCTGATGACGGGGAGGAAGAGAGAGACTATGATCACGAACCTTGTGACAGGCTCCCTGTGGACCATGACACCTAGCAGAATGAGAGACTCTACTTCTTCGGCAAGCATCACCGGTTCACGTCGGAGGATGTCTGGGGACACAATGTCGTCTGGCACCCGAGGATATTCCAACCTGCTGTGAGGAATGGAATATGGGTCATAGCAATAAAGGAGGCCGATGGCAAGTGGAGTGGACTGAAGAGACTGGGAGCGGATGCATTTAAGAGAAAGGCAAGAACTGCTCTGGTGGAGCATTTGAGTCTCATGAACCTCGAGAGGAACGATAAGGACGTCGATGCGTATGCAGAACAAAAGCTACATGAGTTGTACGCCAACAACATGTTGGAGTTTCGAGCGCCTTTCTACGCACTCGAAACGGCACCGTCTCATGACATTGACTGGCGCATGCCGCCACCTCCGCCGGCCGGTCAGTATCCGGGAAGGGGTGGTGGAGGAGACGAAGGAGACGGCGGAGGTGGCGGAGGAGACGACTCACAGTTTGCTGGAAAGGGGACGGGCGAGACATCGTCGGTTGAGAAGGCGTCCGGCGGAAAGGGGTCGGATGGAAAGGGGTCGGGCGGGAAGAGGTCGGGCGGGAAGGGGTCGGGCGGAAAGCGTAGAACGTCCGGGAGTCCCCAGTATATGGAAACTGACCCCCACTGCTTAAGGAGTCGAGATTCCGACATGCGAGACGAGGCCACCCTGACGTCTGATCAAGTGCGAGCAGATTCGCACTTGTCTGCGAGGAGTTTGTTTCTCGTTGCCCAGGAAAGTCCATCCCGCCGTGCGCAGCAGAGGTCTCCTGTGCTCAACACCTTGCTCCTGAAAGAGGGCACGTCTTCGTTTTGCCTTGAGGGCGGGATGCCTGCATTGCGAAGGAGCGAAGGTGCGACCTCCGGTTCCCTCGGCTCGGGCGACCGCCACAAACTCCGAATACATTCGGATTTGCTGTCGTCGCCCTACGCCATAAGTGCTCCTCACGCAACAGTTCCACGGGGCCAAGAAAATGTGACGTCCTGGCCCCCGCATCTTCAGTTGGACACAGGGTTACCCTGCTCGCCTCCTTTCTCATGTGTTGAGAATCGAGACCGGCGGTCTCGCGACGTTGTTAGGAAACCCGGGGAGGGGTCGCCTACCGTTCGCTGAAGCCAGGGGCAACAACGCCTGTCACTCGCTGCGCCCGCTTCCGAGGTCCTCAGCGACCAGCAGGGTTCCTTTTGTGATCCGCCTGTCACAGCGTCCGCTCATTGAAGAGCTTTATATCATGATTGGGGCACGGGAAAACCGCTAATTATTTCTCTCGATTAAAGTATTCCTTATTTTCAGGCAAGCTCGGAATCCAGGCTTGGAAAAGGGGTTTAGTT